TGGGCCAGAATGTTAAAGTGGTGACAGTGGAAATGAATGAGTGCCTCTAAGCAGGAAGTGGATCTCCGGAGTAGAGCTCAGGCTGCATGACCTAGCAGCCCCTTCTTCACAGGAAGTCTTCCTTCCAATGATTTTGTTTTTATTAAAGACAGAAGAGTCTTACATAAAACTGCCAAGCCTATACTTCTTATCCTCTTAAAAACAAAACAAAACCCAAAGAGACAAATACGAAACAGTTAGTTACCACGTAGGCCTGGGCCTCCTTGGGACTGGGTGCCTCCTTTTGCAAAACGTCTATGGGTGGCAAGCAGAGCACACTCTTGCAGCACGTTCGGAATAGCTCTACTCTTTCTTCTACCTCTAAGAGGGGCCTGAGCTTCCTAAGAACCAGGGAGGGGCAGAAGTGTAACCAGACATGGTGCCCAGGAATAACAGCTGAGAAAGGTACACAGAGAGATGGTGGAGATGGAGGGACAGGTGGAGGCAAGAAAGAGGAAGATACCAGAAGAAAGGGTAATGAAAGAGGAAAGGGAAAAAACAGCGACAAGAGGTGAAAAGAGCCAAGAAGATGGAAAGAGGGGAACCAAGGGAACGGTAACAGGCATGACTATTACAGGAAAGGGTACTGATAACTTGGGATTACTTTGTAGTTCCCCAGAGGTCTTGAGGGAATGGGGAATTGGTGATGGAAATGAAGGTGCCTACTTGAGGACAGCCCTGAAAGCAGAAGGAAGTCTGGGGCAGAAGTGACAGCAAGTTCCTCTGGAGATGAGAGAGGCAGGTGCTCTGAAAATCCCATCCAAAAAATCTTGGCAAAAGGAAATGGCAGACATTGTCCAGTAAATGTCTACCACTCCCCTATGCTAGAAGCAGAAGCAGAAAATAAGAGGGGGTGGGACTAGGGAATAAAGAGGTGAAATACAGTCAGGGCGGGGAGAGAGAGGACAGCATGTTGTTACCTGAAGTCAGTGACAATGCTCATTGCCTTTTGCCTAATGGAGCTGGAGATGAAGTTCAATGGCTCCGCCTTGATTAGCTCCTAACACACACACACACACACACACACACACACACACACACACACACACACAACCAAGAGGATGGTGAACATATTTTTCTTGCCTGCCTCCACCTCCTCCCACTCCAGTCCGTGTTCATAAGAAGGTGGAACCTAGATTTTTCAGGGACTCCCACAGAGAGGACAGCACCTCTCTCCTACTCCAAGCCACACTTTAACTGCTGTATTCACCTCTACCTTGAGGATGGGAAAGGGAACACTAACTCAGGGAATGGACACTGAAAAACCCGAACTTCTATCCGCCAGGCCTAGCCTAGGAGTGCCACCAATGGTTTCCACGAGGACCCATCCTCCCTCCCTTCTGCATTTCCACCTTTGTCCTCAGGAGTACTTACCATCATGAAGGCTACAATTTCTCGTTTGTGGGGGAAACTGAATTCAGAATCCACATTCTGGCTGATCAGGGTGTTTGTCAGTGTGGTCAGGGCATTCAGGTAATCCAGCTTCAGGCTCTTATCCTGAATGAACCAGAATGTGCAGAGACCTCCAAGGTGGGAACGATCCTGGGGCCAGGGCACACTGCCTACACAAAGTCTGGGGGTTGAGCCGCACGGCCTTCTGTAGCCTTCCCTCTGCGGGCATCCCAGGCCACTCTTCTCATCAACCCCTCCCAGAACCCCCCTCTTATAACGCTTAAATTAGGATAGGTCTAGCTTCCTTGTCTTTCAAGTTATTTTCTTTCCCCCGAATAAGTTCTACCAAAGGACGTGTAGTTGGGAATAGGAAGGGCTTCTTCTCCAACCCTGGGGACACACGCTCTGCACAAACAGCAAAGGCAGACAGTACGATGGGGTCCCCTCTGCCTCCCCCAAATGCTTCTGCCTGTGAATGTTAGGGAATTCAGGCTTTACTCATCCCTTCATCAGAGAGGGCATGTTACATAGCATGCCAGCAGGGAAAGAGGCACTTGTCAACAGACCTAAAATTACTGTGCTGCCCTCCTTGGGCCAGTCAGAATTACAGAATAGCAGGGTTAAACAAATGAATTGAAATGTGGGAGAGGAAGTAACTGGACCAGCCCCACCCCTTGAGTCCCATTCAAGGCCAGGTATCTTATTCTTGGTGGGGAAAAGAGAGAAGGCAGGGATGAGATGCTGGAGAAGCAGAGGAAGCAGGAGGTACCTTTTCCACAATGCAGCCGTGGTAGTGTTGCAGGACCAGGGCCAGGATGGCATCTAAATGCATGAAGATGGCTCCGTCGCTCTCTAAGATAATCTTGCTATAGCTTAAGTAGATGGTGCTACAGACCAGCCCCCACTCCCTTTGCTGATGTTCCTGTAGGGGGAAGGGGGAAACTTGCCTTCTCCTCACCTTATCCTCTTTGTCTGATGAGGAATTGGAGATTCAGAGAGAAAATGACTGCCCAGAGGGTGCAGAAGGGAAGATGGGGCTGTGGAGTGGTGAGCACCTGGGGGGTAAGCGGGGGGGGGGTGCAGCTGGTAATACCATGACCTGAAGTGTGGACATGAGGGAGTAAGGGAGAGGGAGAGCAGAGTGAAACTTTCCCACAGTTGGTCAGAGGGAAAGAGAAGCATTTAGAGGTGAGTCACAAAGCCTTGGAGGAGTGGGGAGGCTGGGGTGATGGGGGTGCCTTGGAAAGCTTGTGTGGGAGGCTGGCAGAGCCCCCCGGGAATGCCATCACCTTCATCAGCTTGAGGATGAATGATGAGTTGTTAGTGAGTACAGCACCATACAATTGCAATTGGTCCAGGACGATGGTCAGATGTTTTATAGATACGATACTGAGCGCCACGGCAATGCCCTGTAACAAGGACTATCTCAACCCCACGCCACAGCTCAGGACAAGACAAGCAGGGCTTTAGAGAGGGAAAGGCAAGACATGGAAGACGGAGAGCCAAACATCTTTGCAAGGTCATTCAAGAAGCAAATTATCCCAGATTAAAAAAAATTAGTCACGGATTTACAAAATCTTGGTATTATCAAATCCGACATTGCACAATAGAAAATACTTATAGGCACTAGGAATTCAGAGAAAGGCTGTTCTGAGGAGGGAACGGAGGGAAAGAAAAAAATCCAAGGCACCTTTTCAACAGGATGGGATAGCTAATCAGAGGAGAGATGGAGGAGAGGGAAGACTTACAGACAATGACAATATTTCTAGTTCAAGAGAACAGGAAATAGCAGTAACTCTCACCAAAACAGTCAGGTGGTAAAGGGGGTCTGTCTAGGTTGGAGAGACAGGAAGCAGTGAGCTCTTAGATGTGTAGTATGGCAGGTAGTGGCAGAACAATGAAGTGGAAATGTCAGTGCCAGTGGGTATGAAAGTTGGGGCTAGAAGTATAGATCTGGGAATCAATGACCTAGAGAGAGCCAAAAGCATGGAGGCTTGGGGATTCTGTAGGTCCTGCCAGGAACAGTCTTTAACTTAAATCCCTTGCCTCATAGCAGGCCCTTTTGACGTCAGTGTCAGCCAAGCCTCTGCCTAGAGTTTACTCAACAAGGATGATGGGCCACAGAGCTAAAGAAATGACCAACACAGACACGCAGGTGCCCGCTGTTTGCCAAGGGCTGCCGTTAAGACTTCGCAGCAAGAGAAGGCATAGTGGACGGGACCTGGGGACAGTGACATACTCCAGGATACTGATCCTCAAGAAGGGATGAAGTGTTAGTGGGGCTTGTAGATTTTGGACTCCACATAGAGGAAAGGAAATGTTTAACAGTTAGAAAGCAGAGATAGTAGAGTATCAGCTTGGGGTTCTATTCTGGCCCTTTCCCTCTTCTTATGTCCTCCTTTTTGCCACACCTTCCACTAATCATGGTTGTCATCATCACTATCATCATCATGTCATCGTCAGAATATCAGTGCTTAGTTTATACCAGCCTTATACGTGTTATTTCATTGATCCTCACACTAAAGCTTTGAGGTAAATATTATCACCTCCATTTTACAGACAGGAAAAAATAATGTTTCCCAAATCTAGACATCCAGCCCAAATCTGAGTTCCATGTAGATCTGGATACTGTACACCTCCACCTGGCTATACCAGGGCATAGTGTTTAAGTGCCAGGCATTATTCTAAGTACTTTAACATTTCTAATCCTCAAAACTACCCTATGACACACATCACTTCTGTGGTATTCCCACCAAAAATGGATAATCTGAATCTAATCATGAGGAATTATGAGACAAGCCAAAAATGAGGGACATTGTATAAAATAAATGGTCTGTACATTTTTAAAATGTCAAGATCATGAAAGATAAAGATGAGGAACTTTTTCCAAGTTAAAGAAGAATGAAGAGAAATAAGAACAAAATGCACTACTTGATTCTGAATTAGATCCCAGACCAGAGAAAAAAACGTTTTTCTTTTGCTCTAAAAACATTGGTAGGACAATTGATGATTTTCAAGTCAGGTCTATAAATTAGGTAATAGCACTGTGGCAATGTTAGTTTCCTGATTTTGATCATTGTCCTGTGCTTATGTAAGAGAATATCTTTATTTTTAGATAATACACACTGAAGTATTGAGGGGTAAATGAGCATCGTGACTGCACCTTCCATTTCAGATTCAGAAAATACAATAATAATAAGTTAATAAATAAATAAATTATATTACTTATATGAGAAAGAGAATGATAAAGCAAGCATGAAAAAATGTTAAGATTTGGGGAACCTGTGAGAAGAGTAAACAGGAATTCTTTGTGATTTTTTTTTGCAACTTTTCCTTAAGTATAAAATTATTTCAAAATAAAAAAACTTTTTAGGAAATATCCTACGAGGAAGGTACCATAGCCTCATTTTACAGAGGGGGAAACTGAGGCACAGAGAGGTTCAGTAACTTGCACAGTGGTACTCAGCTGGTAGGTGGTCTGGCTGCCAGGGCCCAGCCTTTAGCCACCTTGCCATCCTGCCTCTTACAGTAAAAATGTTCCCCTTGCCAGCGAGTGCCCTCTACCTTACCTCCCTGTCCTGCAGCTCTTCGTGGGCAGTTTGTAGGATACAGGAGGTCATTATCTTCACCAGTTTCATATTCCTTGAGGTTCGAAGGGTGAAGCCGAAGAATTTATATAGGAAACCCTAGGAGAGATGGAAGGGCAGAGTCATGCTTAGCTTGGAATGAGGTTAGGGCAGCCTGGGGAAGGGCCATGTCCAAGACCAGCTTTGTGACTGTCAGCCACTGCCTCCACCCACTGTCCTATCCTCCCCCGCCCCCAGCCCCCTGCCTGGGCCCTCCTGCTCTCAAGGGACATCTGGATAAGGCCATAGTTCCATGGAGCAGGGACTCACGTTGGAGGGAAGAGAAAGCTACATTTCTAATTCCTCAGCCTCTTAGGGATTATTCTTTACGAACTTTCCCTCATCCACATACTTCCCATTTCTAGCTAGGAAATAAAACAGTTCCTTAAATTTCATTTTAAAATCATTTTAAAATCAAAATTGCATTATTAAAAAGCACTTTTCTGTAATCTTTATCTCTCCCTCCTCTGAATTCCAGTGGCCTTCATCTTCACTTCCTGCACATTGTCCTGTCTACCTTGTAATACCAGCCTTTGTGGACTTACCCACTCTCCTATGTCAGGGCCTCTGCATTTCCTGTTTTCTCTGGCTAGAACCCTCTTCCCTGGGACCTTGAAAATGTCACATTCTCATCTTTCAGGTCTCAGCGAGACTTCCCTGACCTCCTAAGTTCCTCTCCAGATCACCCTTCTGTCTCTTCCCTTCAGGACTTCCTCACAGTTACCCCTTCTCTTGTTTATGGATTTGTTTGGTTAGTTTCTAACTTGCCCCACCCCCACATCTCCAGTGAGAACAAAGCTGAGGAGCAGTATATGTCCTGTTCATTTCTCTGCCCCTAGTGCTAATGCAGCCTGATGCAGTAGGCCAACAGGACATACCAGGTGTTCAATGAATGTCTTACCTGGTTTTAACTCACCCCCTAACATCCCCTGTCTCTGGGCATCTTTTCCTCTCTAGCAGCTGCTCTTGGTACCTTGTCCAGACCTAAGGGTTCCTTTCTTTCGACTGGCTACAGGCACTTTTGTGAACAGCTCCCCCTGCAGCCTCCTAGGGAGAATTGCCCTGGGGTGACTAGGGCCTCCTTGCCAAGGATGCCTAGGTGCTACACTCTTATCTCTTCTCTCCCTGCTCTGTACCAACCTTGGAAACCCGGAGACAATGACAGACAGGCCAGAGGGCAGGTACAAAAGCCCCCCTCATTGGTCTCCAGGCAGGACAGACTCTGCTGTACAGTTTCCATCCCGGGCTCTCACGGGATCGGGCCACTTCCTTGCTTAGCCTCTGCTCTCCCCTATCCAGCGTCCTTCGCTCTATCACAGCTTCTCCAGAGAGCTCTTTCTTGCTAAGTCCCTTGATAAGAAGCCTTTCCTCAGGCTCCGCATCAGTGAAACCTGACCTAAAGCACTTATTGGACTATTTAGCTGACAAATGACTACTCATCTTTCTAGACTTATTCATTCCTCTGCAGGACAACTCCGCAGGACTGAGGTGGTTCCCAGGATGCTGAACTTTCAGTGCTAAAATCGGGACAGCCTTGAGCAAACTTAGACAGTGGAACACACCCCCGCCCCGAGAGAGCTTTTCTGTCCAGCCCCCGCAGGCCTCCTCCCTGCTCCCAAGCACACAGTGCGTATTTCCACCCTGACACTTAAAACACTTGCCCATTTTCTTGTCTATTCACTTAAGCAGACAATTATTTCCTGAAGGCAGATATGAGTATCCTGAGCCCCATCCAATGCCTGTTGTGCTATAGGTAGTTGGTATATATTTTTAATAACTGAATTAATAAGATCAGAATTCCTGCTTGCTTCATTTTGTATCCCTAATCTACCATCCACCAAACTGTGCATATAGTAGGTGATTCATAAATATTTGTTAATAACTAGAGAGCAAACAGTCTTGGAAATAAGGCCTCTTTCCTGGAAACTCCCCAGAGCCCAAATAAAGTGTTGCTCAGTGACAGGAAAATAGACTAGAAATCAAGAAACCTGTATTCAGTTTCCATCTTACCAATAATTGGCTTAAAACTCTAAATCCTTCTGGATAGTGTTTCTTCAGCTGCAAGGTAGGGATACTGACAACTATCAGCTTACATAGCCTTTTGCGTTAACAGAGCACCTTCACAGGCATCCTTGCTCAATCCTCATCCACTCTTCTGTGATGTAGAAGTTACTTTTGCTGCTTCCCAAGTGAGGCAATCTCAAGGGCGCCAAGACACCTGACCCAGCCTACACCGGGAGCATGAGGAAAGCAGCCCACCTTTCTTCTTTAGCTCTGTATCCCCAACAACAAGCACAGTCCCTAATCCGTGGTACACCCTCAAATATTCCTTGAATTAACTTGCTTAAATCTGATTCTAAAGTCAGTAATCTTTCCACTGCACCCAAGTACCAACTCTATTCTGTTACAGAACAGCTGGGAGGTTCAAGGAAGACAGCAGACACCAAGGTTCTTGAGAAAGCCTAAAACACTAAGCAAATGTAAGACACTGATATTTTTGCTATTCCTGTGTGACCATCACAGACTCCTTGTCCTCTCCACCTCTCGAGTCCCAGGATGCAGGTATGCCAGTTTGCTTTCCTCCAGCCTTTCCCCACCAGGCTTCTTTAGCACCACGATCCACCTAGCAGCCTTGCAGGTGACCTTGCAACCACCACACACCCAGACATACCTTCTCTTCCTCATCATTGCTGAAATAACGTATCCTCTCCAAGACGACTCTGACGAGGGGCTCCAGCCAGCTGTCATCATCGATGGCCACTAATGACTGACTCAAAAACTAAGGAAGAAGAGGGGAGAAGAGGACCACAAGGGACAGTGGCAGGGCTTTTCTGCCCCATAGAAGTGGGGTCAGAAGGAAGCAAGAGATGGGGTCAGGCTTGTAAATATGGAAAAAGAGCTCAAGAAATGGGGGAGAGTTGAAATACATGGAGGGGTTTAGTCAAGATGAGAGAATGATAATACAGTGACAATGGTGATAATGCCAGTTACATGTGAGAAGCCCTTTCCAGTTTACCATGCCCTCTCCTATAACATCTTACTTAATTCTAGAAGACAGGGGTTACTTCCATTTTATAGATGAAGAAACTGAGGACTTCAAAGGCTAAGTAACTTGCCAAAGGACACACAGCAAGGGTGCTTTTCTTTACTCCCCCCTGATGTAGGGCCTTGAGGGTGTGGAAGATGGATCAAGGCTTAGAATATAGTCAGAGGCTCTGATGCAGGGGTCAGGTGGCAAGAGGACCACAGGAAGAGGCTCTCTTCAGCAGGGAGGCCCTTCATCATTGCCTCATTCTCGAGGTGGGGGGAGGGTCTGGGGCTCTCTTCCCTCAGGATCCTGAGACGGGAAAGAAGGCAAGTGTGGAGGGAGGGAGGTCTTCGGGGGTGCTTACCTGGAGCAGCCTGTCCTCCCACTCCTTCTGGTTCAGGTTCTTCTCAGTGTTATCTAGGAAAGGAGAGACTATGGAGACCCACCCAGCTGGAAGGCCCCAGCCAGGACAAAAGAACCACCATTTGAACACTATGCCAGGTGCTGAGCCTACAAGATAACTGCTCTCCCACTTTACAGAGGCTCCAGGAGATGAATGGCTTTCCAAAAGGCCAACATACACAGCTGGCCAGTGTCCAAGCAAGGATGTAAACCTGGTCTGTCTGGTTCCAAAGCCCACATTCTTCCCTGATCCTCTGCCCATAAGAAGGGGCAGGAGTCATCCTGGGAACTCTAAAGCCACAGAACTCTGCATATCTGCCCAGTGTAGTACGTTGCCCAAATAAGCAGACCCATCCAGCGGCACCTCAGAGGCACAGACAGGCTGGTCCCTCACCTGAAGGAAGGCCCATCCTGTACCTTCGGACTCCATCTCTTCTGGAATCTGCCCACTGCCTAGTTCCATTCCTCCCCGCTCCCAACCAACTCCTCACCATCAAGTATCTGCAACATCTGGGGGATTGCCTTCATCCACAGCTGGCCCACATTAGAGTAGATAACGGGGTGCAGGGAGGTGATAGGATGCAGGGCATGTAGTAGCCTTAGGGAGCTTGCACCAAACTCCTTTTCTCTGTAGGGCTTCCGGGAAAATACCTGAGAAACAAGAGAAGCAAGCAGGAGGCAGAGAAAGGATTTAGGGGAAGAGAAGGAAGAAAATTAGGACAAACCCATTGAATGGTAGAGCTGAAGCTTAGACATTCTTCTCCACTTGTTGAACTCCCACATGTTCTCCAAGAAGCTCTTGAAACATCACTTCCTCTGTGATGCCTTCCTGACTCCTGGAGACCAAGTCAGCCCATTGCTCTTCTAAGATTCCAGTGCACCCTATGTATTCCTCTATTAGTACATTTATCACACTGAATTATGGGTGGTTATTCCCAGGCTTGTTTTCCCCAAGAAAATCGTGAACACCTCTAGGGCAGATCTATCTTTATCACTCCAAGCGTTCATAATGACTAGCACATAATATCTGGGCAAACCGAGAAACTCAAAACAAAGATGCTGAGAAAATGAGATCCAGAAAGTCATGTGGACTTGTCCAAGGTCAACAAAAGCAGCTCACAATAAGGCCACATAGAAGACAGGCTAGACCTTTCCCATCCCCCAATCCTTCCCCATCTGCAGGCCCCACCACTATGCTCCCAGTTCCCTCCTCCATACTCTGGCCTGGATTACCTCTCCCCAGAGCCCTCATGACCCTTGGCCATATCTCTTTATTCCATGTTCAACATAATGCCTGAAATAGAGTTGTACTCAACTATTTATGAAATGATTGGATGGATGGATGGATGGATGGATGGATGGATGGATGGATGGATGAATGGGCGAAAGAATGGAAGAATGGAAGAATGGAAGAATGGAGATACAGTACTCATCCCAGCATCACTTACCAGAAGATGGGTCAGGAGTTTCTGTGGGGAGATGAACTGGGTGGCTAAGTTAAAGAGAGGATAAAAGAAGAAAAGGACAGAGTCAGTGCAAGCTCCAGGATGCCCAACCTCCAGCTTCCACTTGCAGCCCCCCATCAGTACTTCAGAGAAGAAGAAAGAGCAAAGCGGAGAGGGGACATTGGTGCCAGTGCCATGGGGGCCTGTGACATTTTGACTCAGCCTAAAAATCAAATCATTGCATTTTCAGCTTATAAAACACACACACACCCATCAGGTAATGTGTTGAACAGACATCGTCACCCCAACCCTGACTCCCACTGGGATTAGAGGTCTGGGATGGGGTGAGCACAGAGTAAGGCTTAGAGTTGGGGCAAAGGAAGAACAAAGGGTCAGGAATATCTATGTACTCATTACTTTGCAATTAACAATGTCTGTACATCTCAACTCTGGTTTTTAAAACAAGGAGTAAAGGCAAGAAGGAACTATGTCCCCAGAGGAGTCCCCTTTTCATCCATGGGGCCAAATGGCCTTACGCTGCTGCCCTAACCCTATGCCTCACTCTTCCCATCATGGCCCAGGCTTGAGACCTGCAGCTTCCCCCACAGCACAGATGTACCCCTTCCCCTGCACCCACTATCGCTGGAGTGTCTCAGCCAGCCTCCCACCCCAACTCTGCATGTCTGCAGCAACTGGAGTTTTCACAGTGGGCAAGTCTCCACCGGCTGCCCCACCCTGTACTTACGCCTGAGGTGGAAGCTGCTGAGGTAGGGAAACTGGCCCAGGTTCCGGGCTTTCATAGCCATCTCTGTAGCCGTCTTACTCAGGGGCAAAAAGGCCAAGACGTTGCTGGGCTCACACACCAAGGTGATCAATTTGGGCAAGGATACCTGGCAGGGGATGTAGCAAGGACTTCAATGCCAAGCCCCAAATCAGCCCCAGTCATAACTTCTCCTACCCCACGACCTTGCCGTCCTTTCCTGGAGGGGCATTTGAGGACTGTACACACAGATCCCCTATCCCAAGTCATATTCATTCTTTCTCTCTCTCCCTCTCTCTCCCCCTTCATGTTGGTAAAATATAACCAAGGTCCTGATTAAAATCACAGCAGGAAGGACCTGATTAGATAGACGGGCTTCTTGAAATCTGGAATTGTGTGACTTGCAATTGCCTGTATTGGGGAACATTCTGGGGGCAGAGACATGCCGAGGGTCAGGAGACAGCTTGCTGGGGAGAGTAAATCACATGTTCTTTTCGTTCCACAGCCCTTTTCTCAACTCTGGCCCATACCAGCTCATATGAGCCTCCAAAAATGCTCAGAGTTTGCTAAGGACAGACAGGGAATATAATCACTGCCTTTTTTACAAAAAAAGAAACTGCGGCTGGGAGAGCAATTTACTCAAGATTTCACAGCTAGAAACTGGCTGAGCAGGACTCAAGCTCAGGCCTCCACGTTCACCATCCAGCGACCCTCTTCTGCCCACTGAGGAGCCCCAGGCAGTTGAGGATGACCAGATGGAGGTGGGGAGGGGCGGAGCGTGAGGGATTAGATGGGGGTGGGGCTTAGAATGCAGTCTTGGGGACAAGGTAGTGATCTGGGAGGAAATGGAAAGGCCTCTTTGACCCTAGCTGTTTGTACCATCTGTAGGATTTTGCGACACATTATTTGGGTGTCCTCTTCATTCTGGAATAAGAAAAAGAAAGATTTAAATTTGAAACCAATGCTAGCTAAGTCTCCTGGTTCAAGGCCCCCCTGGCTCACTGCTCAGGGTTTAGGAGGCCAAAGCCCATCCCATGTGCCAGCCGTACCCTCCTCCTCTTTTCCTTCTGTTCCCAACCCTGCCCTTTTCTTGCTCCCACCCTCGGTTCCCTCCCTGCCTGGCCCCTGCTCACTGAGGGGTCAGACTCGCTGAGCTTGATGATGTAGTTGATGATGATATTCCCCTGGGGCAAGGTTAAGTAGTTATGCTGGCCCAGCACCTCAATGAAGTTCAGGAGGGCCTTCCGTACCTATGGGGTCACAGACCATCACATAGCAAGATAGGAAGGCATATCAGGGACTGCTCGTATGACCCACATGTTGCAAGTGAGGACACAGAGGACCAGAGCAGGTGAGGGGCGCAGCTTTCCTGGCTCCAAGCCCAGTGTGACTCTTCAGTGGGCTCTGGGTGATGATAGACCACCAGCCACTGAACCTGACCACTTCTCTACTGCACCCTGAAGTTCTAAACCACTTCATCTCCAGCTGTCCTCTGAGCACTTATCTTGCCCACACCTAATTTCCCCAGAGATATGAATATTGGTAGGAGTGTTGGGTAGAGGGAGAATCTGAGTCCAGGAAAGGTCCCGTGTTCTGGCCTTCCCAGGGAAAGCCAAGAGCAAATCCCACAAGTCCTGAGGGCCCAGCTCTCAAGATCCTGGACTGTCTATTACCTTCTGATGATCGAGGACTTTGTTTTGGGGAACAATGCTATTATCTATTTGGCACCCCAAACCACTGCTCCCATGTTCCCCAATCCTGCATGATTCAGGGCTGGGAGCAGTATGCTGTCTCCAACCCTGGCTGCAGAGCTTGTTAAAAATATGGCTTCTCAGGCCCCATGCCAGATGAGATGCTTGAGGTATTCTCTCCCCAAGCAAACCATGAATTCTCAGGGGGCAGAATTAGTATCTTTTAGAGCTCCATGTCCCCACTGGGCACACCCAGTGCTGCCCACAGAAAAACATTCAGAAAATAGGAAAGAACCACCTGTCCACTTCTCAAACCCTTCTCAGGTTTTCAAGAGCACAAATGTAACCCATGGGCAGTGGTGTGAGGTCAGAGATGGCTTGGCAAGGGTGCTTTAGCTCTCTTGTCATCCCCCCAAAACCTTCCCGTCTCCATTTTACAAGACCTCAAGTTCTCAAGAAAGCAGCCGCCCTCCCAGCCCAAGCATCCCGCTTTTCTGCTCACTTGTTTGAGATCGTCCTGAATCACAATAATGACTGAATGCATCACCTCTCTCTGCAGTTTCTCTGTCTGGGGCACTAGAGAAAAGACAGACATCCAATGGGGGTCAGTTTCCTCCCTCCTCCTCTGTTGTTTTGGGGGGCATAAGAAGACAGACAGGTAAGAGGAATTCTAGGTATAGTCCTGGTCTTCAAAGGCCAGGCAAACCAGACTGAAGAGTGACCTAAAACAGTATTTTCATCAAGCAGGCACTTGAGCCTCAGCCCTTTGTCAGTCTCCTGTGACTGCCCACACAAATCCAATTCACCAGCCAAGCTGTTCTCCCTACCTTCTGCACAACTCAACCTTTAAAACTGCCACCACTGCTCATCTGCAGTGTGAATTCCCTCCTGACTCAACGATCTCCTTCCCTGCTCTCAGTACATCTCCACAGAGCAAATCCCATCTCCTCTGGCTGACTGATGCCTTCTCTGTATTTCTGTGGCACGTTGTCATGCTCCCATTTAAGCAGCTTATCACATATTAGCTCACATCATTTCGCTGTGTGAATAGGCTCATCTTCCCTACTTCATAGTGAGCTCCTTGAGAGCAGGCACCATGTCTTATTTATGTATTTTCCTTGCCTTGCACCGTGCTAGGCACACAGTGAAGATTTGGCGAGCCCTTGATTGGAGTTGAAGCCCACACTCCCAGATAATAATCATACACTAAACCACTATAAAACTGGCTGCATAGTGGGCACTGGTCTGAGCATATGTTTTCTCATTTAATTCTCACTAAAAACGCTTAAGATAGGTGTTACTGTACCTCCACTTTTCAGATGAGGAAATAGAGGCACAGACTAAAAGTAATCTGCCCAAGTTTGCACAGCTACTAAGAGTCAAAGTCAATATTTGCATCCACTGAGTTTAAAACTGCACTTCTAACTATTATATAGGACTGTGTCCCAGAAAAAGGAGCTCTCATGGGAAAGAAGATCCCCAGGACCAGGCTCAATTTCCACTTACCTTCCTTGAACACATTCATGAACACTTGCAGGGCTGACACCATCTTGGCTGGCTCCTTGGACTCCATGGTCTTTCGTATTATGAATACCACCTGATCACTGTATAACTTGGCTATTTATTAGAAGAGCATGAATACAACGGAGTCAAATCACAGGTATGCTTACCTGGCAGGTAGTAAGCAGGAGTTAAGTTATGCAAACCACGGCAAACCACTGATGCCATGGGCTGGACAACTGAGGGTCCATTAGGTTGGAGAAAAGGAGGAAGAAGAAAGAGAGCCAGTGTTTGTCCAGCATTTCCCCTGTGCCAAGCATGGGGCTGCAAGTTTTTCCTGAGCGAGACCTATCCCTTCCCTGCCCCACCATGTGCCCTCCCAGCGCTCTCTCATGACCATCAGTGCTATAATCACATTAACACCTTTCTAAGTTGAGAATGACTGAAAGAGAAAGGGAAGCCAACCCCAGGTGAAGGGAGCAGGAACAAAATGGGTAGGGTGGAAAATGTCTACGCTCTTTGAGATTCATTGAATTTCAGGAAAAGTTCACATGCATTACTTTGCATCTCGTCTAGAGGATGGAAGCCCCTCGTGGGAATCTGGGCCCCCACTCCAGTCCTGGAAGAGACAAGGTCCTGAGTACACACTCACACACATACCGGGGGTGAGGGAAATGTGTTAACTTACTCAGGATGTGGAAAGCCTTCAGGGCGAGGCTGTGGTTCTTGACAGAGTGAGGATCTGAGTTGTTGACTTCTTCACTCAGCTGTGGGGAGACCAAGGCCATCAGACCTGGGGGACTGAAACCAGAGGCCCTGGACATAGATGGGGAAACTGAGGCATGCGACCATGAAAATTGTGGCACTTGGCTATAAGGATAACATGAAAATAGAACCCAGGAACCCACAATCACAACCCCAAAGGGAAGAAGACAATGGTCAACAAATTACATATATGGAAGCTAACAACTTTTTGCAAAATGTTCAGCTATCCTCTTTCTACTCTGGGCTGCAACACAGAAGCCCTGGCATTTCCCACGGGCATGACAGAATGGGTTGAGCTGCCTTTTAACCAGTTTAGGGGGAGAAACAAAGGCCTCCACCCCCAAGAAACATACAGAATCTGTCCAAGTTATCTCACGGAGAATATCCCACTCTGTGACCAGAATCCAGCCATTTGCCTAGTCCAGGGAAGCCTGAGGTGTGTGGCGTTAAGGTCACCATGTGAAAGACACATGGGCCATGTGGAGGTTGTGACCTGGGTTCAGGAAGCCATCACCTCCAAAGCAAAGTGGAAGAGCCAGCCTAGGATACTTGTAGCCCCATTGAACTCACCTGGTTGAACAGAATGCCTGTAATGTTTTCCAGCTGGGATTTCAAGTTTATGCCTCCGCTGCCGCTGTGAGCCAGAGCATCCACAAGTTGGCAAATGCACTGTGTGTGTAAGGACAAAGTCAGCCAGCCCTTGCCACAGCCTCAAGGGAAAGCTGCTGTCTTCACATCTCTTTGAGGATGGCCCGAGCCCCACGCTTCACACAGACCTCCTAGACCTTTGTAAGAAAACTCAAGCTCTAGTTTTCCATAATCAAATACCACCATAAGCTGCTCTTTCACCTCACCCAGGAAGCTAAACCTATTTTCAAATGATCTCATTATTCCACGGGAACACTTAGGGCAATTCAACATTGCAGGCATTGGCTGACTTCAAAGAAGCAAGATAATTAACCATGGCTAAAGGAAGAACTGGTTGTGTTGCTGATTTTCAAAATTCAGAAAACCAAGTTTAAAAGCTTAAATACCTACCCTCTATCTAATAGATTCTATTGTTTTGTGGGCTGTTCTTATCACTTGTATGAAAGTTCTACAAAAGCCATAGTTTCCACATGTGTAAATATTACATTTGACTTTTTAAAACCAGCTTTATTGATGTCTAATGGACAGATAATAAATGGCACATATTTAAAGTATACAATTTAATAAGTTTTGATAAATGTAGACACCCATGAAACCATCTTCATAATTAAGATAATGACCATATCAGGCTAGCCGAGTGACTCAGTTGGTTAAGAGCTTGTCCAAGAGTGCGACCTCTGGGCAACAGGGTCACCGGTTCAATTCCCACATGGGCCAGTGAGCTGCACCAGAGCTGAGCTGCTGCTGAGCTCCAACAGGTGGCAGGATGGCTCAGCTGGTGAGAGCACGTGCTCCTAACAAGGTTGGTTGCCTGTTCGAGATGGTGGGCTACATCTGCCCGCAACTAAAAACTGAACTCAGCATCTTGAGCTGAGCTACCGCCTGGGTGGCTCAGGGGATACAGCGTGCACTCTTAACAATGAGGCTGCTGGTTCAACTCCCACATGGGATGGTGGCTACACCCACCCACAACTAATTGAACACAGCACCTTGAGCTGAGCAGCACAAATGGACTTGGAGCTGAGCTTGCTGCGCCCTCCACAACTAAGATTGAAGGACAACAACTTGGCTGTTCCCCTTCCCCGATTCCCCAACACTGTCCCCCTCCCCCAACTCCCCAATAAAAATAAAAAATAAAATAATAATAGCAAAAGATATGAACATATCCATCACTGCCAAAAGTTTCCTCTTATCTCTGTAATCCCTCTTTGCCCACCTCCAACACCTTTCCTTTTCCCAGAAAACCACTGATCTGCTTTTTGTCACTATAAATTGCTCACTATAAATTGACTTTTTAGAAACTGCCAAACTGTTTTCTAAAATGGTTGTGCCAATTTACACTCTAACAGATGGGTAGTGGCATCTCACTGTGATTTTAAATCTCCTAAGGTCTAAATAACGTTTGGCAACTTTTCTTGTGCTAATTTTCCATCCGCATATCATCTCTGATAAAGCATCTACTCAAATTTTTGTCAGTTTTAAAAATTCTTAAATTAAATTTTGAGAGTTCTTTACATATTCTGGATACATATATATGATTTTCAAATATTTTCTTCCAGCCTGAGGCTTGTCTTTTCATTCTCTTAACAGCTTTCAAAAAACAGAAATTATTCACTTTAATGAAGTTCAATTTATTTATCTATTTTTTCTTTTATGGATCATGTTTCTGGTGTTGTAATTGAGATACCTTTGCATAAGCAAAGTTTGCACAAATTTCTCCTATGCTTACATTTAGAACTTTGATAGTTTCAGGGTTAACATTTAAGTATTATCCATTTTGAGTTAACTTTTTGTACATGGAGTGAGGTATGGGTTGAAGTTCATCTTTTTGCATATGGATATTCAAATGTCCAGCACAATATGTTGAAGAGACTATTCTTTCTCCAAACAATTGTCTCTTTACCTTTTCCAAAAATCAATTGACAATATATGAAGTGGTGATCAAAAAAATACAGTGAATGGCGCTGCCAAGCGCCATTCAATGGAAAGGTAGGGATCTTCAATATGGGAAGTGGAGCATCAAACCTTAGTAACAGTGTGTGACAAATTTCACTTGTTCAGTGAAGTCAGTTGGGTGTGAGCTATGGTTGAGAGAAGCTGTGTTTTAAAGTGTGCTGTAAACCATCCTCCATCATCACAACGCTCTGTGTCACACATTGCTTCTGGTATACAGCAATTTCTGTCAAATAAAAACATTACAGTGTGTCCTCATCCACCTTATTCACTGGATCTGGCACCATGTGACTTCTGGCTCTTCCCCAAAGTCAAAATGACCATGAAAGCTAAATGTTTTAAATTGATTCAGGACACTGAAGCAGCCACAACAGTGTAACTAAAGACACTCATGAAAGAGGACTTCCAGAACTGCTTTAGATAGATAGAGGCAAGAACAATGGGATAAGTGTGTTCAAAGCGAGCAGGGGTATTTTGAGGGGAATTAATGGTAATGTGTCTTTTACTGTAATAAATTTTTTTAATTTAAACATTCACTGTATCTTTTAATCACACCTCATATGTGTAGATCTATTTCTGGATTCCCCTCTATTCCGTCCCATTCATCTATTTGTCTATCTTGATGCCAATATTTCACTGTCTTCATTATTGTAGCTATATAAGTCATTCTTCTTTTTCTAAACTGTTTTGGCTATACTGGGCCTTTTGCATTTCATATGAATTTTAGAAACAGCTTGTCAATTCCTATTTTTAAAAAAAGGCTGCTGGGATCTTGACTAGGATTGCATTGAATCTATAGATCAATTTGGGAAGAACTGATATCTTAGCAATATCAAATCTTCTAATTCATGAATACAGCATGTATTTCCATTTATTTAAGTATTTAATCTCTCTCAGCAATGACTAGTAGTTTCTAGTACACAGGTCTTACATATCTTTGTTTTCCAGATTTATTTCTAACTTTTTTCATATTTTTATGTAGATGATCACATTCCCTGAGAATAAAGACAATTGCACTTCCTTTCCAATCTGTATGCCAGTTAGGTTAAGTTGTTTGATAATGTTTAAATCTTTTATATACTGATCATCTACTTGTTTTATCCATTATTGAAAAAGGGGTGTTGAAGTCTCTGATTGTGATTATGGTATACACTATAGAAATTAATACATATGATATTGTATCAGTTTCAGGTGTACACCATAGTTATTCAACATTTATATATCTAAAGAAGTGATCACCATGATAAGTCCAGCAATCATCTGACACCATACCTTGCAATCACAATATTATTGACTATATTCCCTATGCTGTATATTAGAGCCCCACGACTTATTTTATATCTGAAAATTTGTACCTCTTATTCCGCTTCACCTTTACCCGGTACTCTTTAAAAATTTTTCAAGGGCTGGCCGAGTGGCGTGTTGGTTAAGAACTGGCTTCAGACACCAGCTCTGAGCAGCAGGGCCCTGGTTTGGATCCCACATGAGGGCCAGTGACACTGCCCTCTACAGTTAAGATGGTGAACAACAGCTTGACCTGGAGCTGGGCTGCGGTGAGTTGCCAGCGACGGCGTAAGCTGCAGCCCCTGCTGCAGTGGACTGCCATAAAGCTACCGTGAGTGGCCGGCAGCCAACGTGAGCTGCCAAGAGCCGCTGTGAGCAGCCGTCCAGAGGCCAGTGACTGATCTGCCTCACCTGGGAAGAGTGCAATGATAATACCAACATGGCCAGTGAAGCAACATCCTCCATAACTAGACTGAAGAACAAAAGGACAGCAACTTGTCTGTTCCCCTTCCCCAATTCCCCAATGCTGTTCCCCTCTCCCAATTCTCCAATAAAATCTTTAAAAATTTTTTTTCAATTACAGCTGACATTCAATATTATTTTATATTAATTTCAGGTGTACAGCACAGTGGTTAGACATTTATATAATTTAAGAAGTGATTCCCCCAACTAGTCTTGTACACCTGGCACTATACATATATAGTATTACCATATTATTGACTATATTCTCTATGCTTTATTTTACATCCCCATGACTATTTTGTAACTACCAATTTGTACTTCTTAATCTTTTAACGATTTTTACCCTACCCACCAAACCCCCTCCCATCTATCACCCAGATAAATCTAGTACTCATCTGACACCATGCATAGTTATTATAATATATTCTTTATGCTATACCCTACATCCCATGATTACTTTGTAACAACCAATTTGTAATTCTTAATCCCTTCCCTTTTTCATCTACACCCTCAAACCCCCTCTCATCTGGCAACCATCAAAATATTTTCTGTATCTATGAGTTGTTTCTGTTTTGTATGTTTTGTTCTTTAGATTCCACATATAAGCAAAACCACATTACATTGGTCTTTCTCTGTCTGACATACTCCACTCAGCAATATACCAGGTCCATCTATGTTGGCACAGATAGCAAGTTCACATTCCCTTCCATGGTTGAGCAATAGTCCATTTACAATGTGTGATAAAAAAATACGATGAATGTTTAAAAAAAAATTATTACAGTAAAAGATACATTGCCATTAATCTCCCTCAAAATACCCCCCTCCCCCCCCACACACACACTTTGAACACACTTATCCCATCATTCTTGCCACTCTCTAACGCAGTTCTGGAAGTCCTCTTTCATGAATGTCTTTAGTTGTGCTGTCGTGGCTGCCTCGATGTCCTGAATCAATTCAAAACCTTTACTTTTCATCATCATTTTGACTTTGGGGAAGAACCAGAAGTGACATGGTTCCAGATCCAGTGAATAAGGTAGATGAGGACACATCGTAATGTTTTTATTTGACAGAAATTGCTATATCAGAAGTTACATGTGACACAAAATTTCATGTTAATGAGTTGTTCGTGATCCATGATTACGGCCAGGAAATCACAGCTTCTCTCAACTGTAGCTCACACCTGACTGACTGCACTGAACAAACTGAAATTTGTCACACAGTTACTAAGGTTTGATGTGCCGCTTCCCATATTGAAGATCTCTGACTTTCTGTTGGATGGCACTTAGCAGCAGCATTCACCATATGGTTTTTTAATTAGTTTC